GCTATTAGTTTTCATAAAACTTTGGGGGTTAGTATGTTGATAATTGTTTCAATATTATATATATATATATATGTGTGTATATATATGTGTGTGTGTATATATATATATATATATTAACTTGGTCCACTCATGTTTGTTTTACGCCCCCTCATAACATAGGAACGAGACTTACGATCTGCGCTACAAGGCATTCCCCTACCAGTGATATCATACCATTATCTTTGGTTTGCCATCTATTGTAATAGCACCTCTCTATTTTACCTTCTACTTGTACTCTGGATTAGTTGTATGCTTTGAACATGTCATGCATTATCATTAGATTCTTTATTGGCAGATGAATATTATTATTGTATTTTTGTAAGACTTATATCGGGATCGGGGCATGTTAGATTGGTATTAGAGCATACTTAGGACTTCATTCTTCCATTTGGTAATCATAAGCTTTCTTATATCCATAATCTTCCATCCTTCTAAATCTTGTTTGTTTCTTATCAGAATTATGGACCATCCTGGTGGGAATGTTCCTCGGCGTCTTCGTTCTGGTATTATGGGAGGAATTCGGCAGTTAACCTCCACGTTACAAAATGCTTTTCCTAGTAACAGCAGGCCGAGTCGTACATATATGTAGATTGCTCGTAGCCACGACGTTACAAAACTTAGGGCAGTTAGAGCCTATTAGGATGCCGAGGATTGGTTGGAAAAGATGGAAGATACCTTAGAGAGCATGAGATGCCCAACGACTAAATGGGCAAATACTGCTGGTTATTTCCTTCAAAGGGAATCGAGATTTTGGTGGAAGTCAGCGAAGGGCTCTCGTCCACCTAATTATTTAATGACTTAGGCTACATTTAAGAGACTCTTTAGCGCACACTTTTTGAGCCCCTGTTATCAACTGAGGAAGAGACAGGAGTTCTTAGAGTTTCGCCAGGGCGATATGAGCATTACAGAGTTTGATAGAACTTTTCGGCGCATGTCGAGACACCATAAGGGAACCTATGAGAACTAGCAGGAGATGATGATATAGATGCAGATTGCGATGAACTCGGACTATAACGAGCTTGTGGCAGCTTGAGGCATATATCATACGAGGAGATGATAGAGACAGCTTTGAGGATTGAACAGTCGAGATGGGATAGTCTTAAACAGAACCAGCCTCAGAGCCAGAACCATCCTCGAAGTCAGAACCGACCTCGGAATTAGAACCAGCCTTAGAGTCTTCTACTTCTTCTAACCCATTCGGCCCTAGACGCTTTCAGTCGTTCAAGTGACAGGGTCAGAGTTCAGGATCATCTAGTGAGGGCTCAGGCAGTGAGTAGACGAAGTGATCTTTCAGCCACTTTAATCTAGGTGTGGCTGATCTGAGCTTGTGTTACATATGTGGCGGCTTTAGACACATGGCCCGTGATTGCGCTACTCCATGTTCGCTTGATAGTTTTACTTCTGGTTTGAGTTACGGTAGGAGTAATCATCCGACAACTCAGAGTTAGTAATACTTAGAGTTATGGCGGGAGTGGTAGTCAGGGTACCTAGTTTGCAGCTCAGCAACAACCACAACATTCTGGAGCAACTTCAGGTAGCCGTGCTTAGAGGAGCAGAACATGCCGTAACAATTAGGGTCTTAGTACTCATGGTAGCCGTAATAGTGGATCGGGACATCAGGTCGATAGACATACCAATGCCATGACTCAGCACGAGGTAGAGCAGGATCCTAGAGTCATTACTGGTACATTACTTGTCTATGGTAATTGGGCTAGAGTTCTAATTGATTCGGGTGCCATTTTTTCATTTGTATCTCCATCATTTGCATGGGTTGTAAACCTGCAACCTACATCGCTCAGATTTGATATGTTTATACAAATGCCACCTGGAGATCTTTTCTGTGCATAGTGGGAGTATAAGGATTGCTCGGTTATAGTTGAAGGGGAACTTTTGGAGGCTAATTTAATTCCCTTCAAACTTGCGGAGTTCGATGTCATATTGGGAATGGATCGGTTGTCTAGGCACCATGCTTACGTCGGGTGTAGAGAAAATTTTGACATTTAATTGGCCTAGATGACCGTGGATCACGTTTCAGGGTGAGCAACAGATCCTTCCAAATAGTATCATTTCTGCCATCCAGGCTACTAAGTTATGACAAAATAGATGTGTTGGATTCTTAGCCCACATAGTCACACAAGATGAACCTTCTTTGTGTGCTGAAGATGTGCTAGTGGTGAATAAATTCACCGATGTGTTTCCTGAGGATTTACCAAGGGTACCACCTCCGAAGGAAATAAAATTCACCATCGATTTACTTCCGGGTACCAACCCTATCTCCTTAGCACCATATCGAATGACACCAGCAGAATTGAGAAAATTTAAGATTCAACTTTATGAGCTAGTGGATATGGGCTACATCCAGCTAGGGGTGGGTTCGGTTCCATTCGGTTTGGTTTTTGGCCGAAATCGAAAACCAAACCGAAATTACTGTTCAATTCGGTTCGATTTTTCTTCGGCTTTTTTCGGTTCAATTTTTTTTGGTTTTAGGTTTCTTCGGTTCGGTTTCAGTCTAGTTCGGTTTTTTCCATGATTTTTTTTTTAAATCTGGTGGTAGCCAAAGAAGAACCCAGAAGAGCAAAAGAGGAATTGTTGCCTGTTAGAGAGCGAAATCCCAATAAGGAACCAAGCTTGCTCTTCGTTCTTCATCGATTTCAATTGGTTTTTTTTTTCTCACAGACAAATCATCAAACAATAATTATAAAGAAAATCTGAAGGAAATCTGCTACCAACAAATCATCAAACAATAATTATAAAGAAATATGTTCTTGCTTTGTTCCCTAGATCCCTCTTTTGCATCTGCAATAAAGATGGTGGATTGGGGACAACTTCCTCTCCTTGCTGCTAAATTGAAGGATTATAATATGCAAAACCCTAACAAAATAATTAAAAGAAAAACCCATTTTAATTCAGCAAAATCACAATATAAATTGTATTCGTTTTGATTCAAAAATTACTTGTGAAAGATGGGAAAATCTGGATTAGAATCTTCCAATTTAGATGGGTTCCGATTCGAAGAGGGCGAGGGAAAATCATGGTTTGGAAGAAGGAATCTGCGAGGAGGAGAAGATTGGAGAGAAAGTGATCTGGAGCAAGAGAGGAAGGAGAGAGAGACTGAGGAACAGAGGAAGCATAAATGAAGAAAGTAGCGGAGGGGAGAGAGAAAGTGTGTAGAAGAAAAGTGAAAAGTGAAATGGAAGTTGGCTAAGGTTTGTAACTTTTGAAATTTTATAAATCATAAAGATTAGAATACCTATAAATAAGTTAGTTTTACAATTATAGCAACACAAAGCCAACAACAAGTTGGTTTGAAGAAACTATCCGAACTTTGAAGGAAGGGGTTCGAATCCTCCAGCCACCAGGTTTTGAGGTATTTGTATATGATTTTCATATATCGGTTTGGTTCGGTTCGGTCCAGTTTCTGGACCTCAAAAATCGAAACAGAACCAACTAGATTCGGTTTGACAGTTTCGGTTCGATTTTTTTAGGTCTCAGTTCGGTTTTCGGTCCGGTTTTTTTTTATTTTTAGTTTTTCCAACCCACCCCTACATCCAGCGCATCATGTCTTCCTGGGGTGCTCCTGTGTTATTTGTCAAAAAGAATGATGGGTCGATGAGACTTTGCATCAACTACAGGCAGCTCAATCGGGTGACAGTGAAGAACCGTTATCCCCTGCCTTGGATTAATGATCTGTTTGACCAGCTGAATGGTGCTTAGGTGTTTTCTAAGATCGACCTTCGTTCGGGTTATCACCAACTACTAATCCGGGATGAAGATGTGCCAAGACGGCCTTCTGCACTAGGTATGGACACTATGAGTTCCGTGTCATGCTTTTTGGGTTAACAAATGCTCTTGCAGCATTCATGGATTTGATGAACAGAGTCTTTAGACCGTATCTGGATCGATTTATGATTGTGTTCATTGATGACATCCTGATTTACTCCAAAAGTAATGTTGAGCACATGAAGCATTTAAGGTTGGTGTTAGAGATGTTGAGAAATCATCAACTATATGCAAAGTTCAGTAAGTGTCAATTTTGGCTAAACCAGATCAGTTTCCTCGAACATGTGGTATCTGTTGAGGGAATTAATGTGGACCATCTGAAGGTTTCGACAGTGTCTACATGAGAGCAACCGAGGAATGTTACTGAAGTAAGGAGCTTCATTGGGCTGGTAGGCTATTATCGATGCTTTGTGCAAGATTTCTCAGCTATCACCTCACCCTGCCTCTTACTAAGTTGACTTGGAAGGGGGTCAAATTCGAGTAGGGTGATGATTGTGCACAAAGTTTCCAAGAGCTTAAGTGGCGTCTTACTCAGGCTCCTATCCTTGCTCTGTTCGAGATTTATACTGATGCATCCTTGTCAGGGTTGGGTTATGTACTGATGCAGCTTGGGAAAGTCATCGCCTATGCTTCCAGACAGCTCAATAATCATGAGAGAAACTACCCCATTCATGATATGAAACTCAGAGCAGTGGTCTTTGCTCTAAAGATCTAGTGGCATTATTTAAATAGTGAGAAGTGTCGCATCTTCATTGATCATAAGAGCCTGAAACATGTCTTCACTTAGAAAGAACTGAATTTGAGACAAAGAAAATGGATGAAGCTCATTAGTGATTATGACTGCACTATCAAGTATCATCTTGGACATGCTAATATAGTAGTGGATGCACTTAGCAGGAGATCCCACGGACAGCTTGCCTCCCTTCAAGCTATCTATGTGCTGTTACTGTTTTCTCTGCGGGAAACCAGCATTTCAGTGATGTCAAATTCACAAGGAGCATTGTCAGTACACTTCCAGGTTACGCCTGTCCTAGTGGATATCGTTAGGGAAGCCCAAGAACTTGATCCGATTTGTGCAGACCTAAAGAAATAGGTATTGGATGGGTCGAGACAAGATTTGAAAATCTGGAGAGATAGAGCCTTAGTGATGGGAAATACGCTGTTTGTGGGAGGACGTCACCATGGATTTCGTGTATGGTTTGCCGAAGAGGCAATTGAGGTTTGACGGCATTTGGGTGATTGTAGACCGACTCACCAAGACTGCTCACTTCCTACCTGTTCGACAAACCTACTCACTAGAGAAGTTGGCTAAACTATTCATTGATAATATCGTCAAGCTTTATGGTGTACCTATCACTATCGTGTCAAACAGAGATCCAAGATTCATCTCCACAGGTTTTGGAAAGCTTTTAATGTTGCCATGGATACTTAGTTGTTGTACATCATTGCCTATTATCCACAGACCGATGGTCAATCGGAGAGTACGATTCAGACCTTGGAGGACATGTTGAGAATGTCTGTTCTCCAGTGGAAGGGTAGCTGGGATAGTTATTTGCCATTGGTTGAGTTTGCTTACAACAACAACTACCACTCCAGTATCGGCATTGCACCTTTTGAGGCATTGTATGGGAAGGCATGCCAGACACTGCTGTGTTGGATAGAGGTTGGTGAACGGGTGCTAGTGGGGCCATAAATTGTTGACACTAATAATAATAACAACAAGTTGAAAGAGGAACCTGAAGGTAGCACAAGATCGACAGAAGAGCATAGCGGAACGACATTTTAGGAATCGAGGGTATAAGACTGGTGACTTTTTCTTCTTGAAGTTGTCTCCCTGGAAGGGGATGGTTCGATTTGGTAAACGAGGGAAATTGAGCCCTCGATATGTTGGTCCCTACCAGATCACGGAGAGAATTGGTGCAATTGCTTATAGACTGGAGCTACCGCCGAAGTTGTTGCAGATTCACATCGTATTTCATGTTTCCATGCGTCAGAAATATGTATCAGATCCCTCGCACGTCATTCAGCCAGAACCATTGGAAGTGAATCAGGATGCGAGTTATGACGAGGAACCAGTGGCTATCATTGACCGACCGGATAAGACTTTAAGGAACAAAGTCATTCTGTTGGTGAAAGTGCTGTGGAGAAACCATGCCGTCGAGGAAGCGACATAGGAAACGGAGGAACTGATGAGGAATTAGTATCCGTATTTATTTGTTTAAGGTTGTAATTTCGGGGATGAAATTCTTTTAAGGGGGTAGATTGTAAAACCCATCCCCAATTGTATAATTTTTATTAAAAAAAATTAATGAAATTACGAAATTAACCCCCTACTTTCTACCTAATCCAGATCCCCTTTCTAGATTTTCCTCATCTCTCTATTTGCCACGTGGCACTCCCTTATCTCTTTCTCATTTTCTCTGTTCTCCTCGAATCAACTCTTATTCTCTCTCACTCTCTCTCTTTCTCTCTTTCGGAACCTTATCCCTTTTCCGTTCCTGATCGACACCCACACACACCTAGACACCCTGACACCCAAGGAAAACCACCGACGACAACACCACCACATTCACCATTTGGTAGCATTCTCTCTCTTCCATCTTTGTGGAACAGTGAGAACCTTAGGTAAACCCGTGGGTTTCAAGCAAGAATCCGACCATCTCCAGCTACTTCAATGTGTGAGAAAGGTACCAAACACTCCATTTTGTCTTTATCTTCATTTTGGTACTTAGATCATACCCTAGGGTTACAAATCGAGCTCGAACGGAGCTAGGAGGAGTTTTCCGGCCGGAATCCGACCTTTTCTTTCGATTGGGTCCGACGACCCACGATTAAAACTCGGGCCGGGCTTTCAAGCCCAAAGCTCTTTAGAACCTCAGGCCTTTGGGCCTTAGGCCCATTAAACCTAAACCCATTTAAATTATTTATTTATTTATTTTCTGAAACCCAAAGACCATTAGGCCGGGCTTTCAAGCCCAAGGCCCAATGGAGCCCAACCCATTTATGAAACCCAAAACCCTTTGACCCCAGGCCTATGGGCCGTGCGTAGCTTGGGCCATCGGCCCAAGGAACCTAAGCCCAAGCCTAAACCCGGTCTAAACCTTGAGCCCAATCGCACATAAGCTTGCGCGTGGGTGCCTGCCAGTGCCCACACGTGGAGCACACATCCCACCGTCTATGGCGGTGCTGACGACTTGCCGGAGCCGCCACTTTGCGGCGGGGCGTGAGGGTGTGTGGGGTAACCTGTGGGGGTACCCGAGGTCCCCATTTATGTTTTTTGACGTCCTGAATCCGTTTTTGACGTTTGTTTTCTGAAATTCAATCGTTTGAGTATAGTTTTATTAATTGGACCCTTTATGTGCTTAGGTGCAATTATTAGTGGCGAATCCATCATTCCTATTTCGTACGGCTTTTCGACGACGGAGGAGTATCTATGAGTGGACCCCTTCTAAAATGCATATTTTAATGTTAGAAGTGTATACATGAAAATCATTATTTAAGGGTTACATATTATGAGTAAATTACATTTACACTTTATAATTATCATGCTTTACTGAGAATATTTTGGAATACCATACTTTATCAAACTTATGTTCTTTGTAGTATATATGATGGATGACTATATACTATTTATGAACGTGTTTTTACACTTCTTTGTATCATATATGATGGATGACTATATGCTATGAAGATGTTTTGAGATATATGTACGTATGTTTGGAAAGATTATATTCAATGTTTTATGTGCATCTAGTGGTCACTGTTTTGCCTACGTGCGACGATACTTATATTGGCTTTGGTCAGGTGATGTAGGGGCCTAGGGGTTAGGAAATATTATATTGGCCTGCGAGTCGGGTGATGTAGGGGCCTACGGGTCGAATGAAGATTTATATATTAGGCCTACGGGTCAAGTGATGAAGGGCCTTCGGGTCGATTATGATACCACTATTTAGCACACTATACAATATATGTTTTATGAAAGGTTTTATGGCATGCTAGGGTTTTCGGAGAAACCTATCACATATTATGCTATTAGTTTTCATAAAACTTTGAGGGTTAGTATGTTGATAACTGTTTCAATATTATATATATATATCAACTTGGTCCACTTATTTTTGTTTTGCGCCCCTCAGAACATATGAACGAGGCTTACGATCCGCGCTACGAGGAATTCCCCTACTAGTGATATCATACCATCCTCTCTGCTTTGACATCTATTGTAATAGCACCTCTCTATTTTACCTTCCGCTTGTACTCTGGATTAGTTGTATACTTTGAATATGTCATGCATTATCATTAGATTCTTTATTGGCAGTTGAATATTATTATTACATTTTTGTAAGACTTATATTTGATTGTTTCTTTGTTTAGTTACGCGCAAAATTTATATGCATGTTTTACATGTTCTCAACATATGCATTCATTAAATAGCTTGCGTCATCCTCGCATGTCGGCCAGCACGTGGTTTCGGTAGCAACACTCTTTTAGATCACAATTTAAAGTTACTCTTAACAAAAAGATAAGTATCCAAAATGATTTAATCCAATAAATAGACAGCATAAGAAGGAGAAGCAAAAAAGTATAACAAGTGGTTTCGGCGTTGGCCTAAAACCAAACCAACCAATCCATTCATAGCCGTCCCCTAAACAGTATATTTCACAGTTCAATAATTAAACGAATCTTTATTTCAGGTTTGAGATAGATAACTAAAAACGAAATCCTATTGTTTATGAAATTATAAAGGCTAATTTCTCATTACTGTTTAGTTAGCTAACTTCTACACAATAAGCAGAGGTCCCAGTTGATCTAACAAGACAAAAACGAACTTTTGAGTGGAAAATTTTGTAATCTAGGAGGTGGCATAGTATTCCAAACAACGTATCAAATAATTTCAGTATAAGTTGAAATACAAACAAGAGTCAAGTGAAATCTAATCATATATTCCTTGATGCTCTTTCCGCCGGCGGCATATGGTCTACTTAATTTGCTGTAACAAGAGCTGTCAATATGTTTGTTGACATGACAGTTAAAGAAACTTGAATATAACACGTGGGAAGTCGTTTAAAAGATGGCTTCAGAGATGAAGGTTGAAACCATTCAAAAGGAAACAATTAAACCATCCTCTCCAACTCCTCCCCACTTAACAAGTTCGATCAGTTTCAACCTGAATTTTGTGCCCTCTACTTCTCTTCTATCCCAGCTCTAGTGATGAGGTCAATGCTGATCACCGTTTGTTGACTGATATTGACTCAAGTGAATGCCACATAATCTGCCATGTCATCAATATTTCTGTTAAAAGTTAGTTAGGAGGGTTATGTGTAGCTTACACAGTAAGCAAGGTAGTTAGACTACTAGAGGGATATAAAAGGCCGATTGCAGTCTAATGTTTGTAAGAAATAACCATTCTATCAATACAAAACTTTTCATATTCTTTCTAGTTTTATTTCCAGGTCTTCTTCTACATTCTCTATATTTCTTCTTTCTTCTTTCTTCTGTGGTTCTGATCTTCTTTGTTAAGATGGTATCGAGCCAAGGTTGATTTTTTTTTGGGATTTTCTTCCGCTGAGTAAGTCTTGGAGATTGATCGTTGAAGGCGTTGTTGGAGTTCTTGGAGGATTGGTGCTGGCTTGATGAATTTTGGGTCGAGGGTCTTTCAATCAGGTTGTTGGTTTCTTTCTTTATTCTTTGCACATCAAGTGTTTGCGTTTTTGCGTCAGTGAAGATATATGGCGATTTGGGTTGTTTCTTGTGGTTTTTCATATATGGGTTCTTTGTTGGATTCGATTAAGGCTAATGCCAGACAATAGCAGATTTATATTTGTGGTGTGATATGGTTGAAGTTGTTCATTTGTGACATTGCTGAAATTTTAGCTTTTGAAGTATATACGTATAGAAGGCCAATGCCAAGAAGTAGTGCAAATATCTTGAAGTGGTGATCATTGTTGTAGTTTGGAGTTAAACAAATTTGTGATTGAGATTGTTTGCTTGTCAGTAATACGTGATAAAGATGTCTGATAAATCAGTACGCATTGAAAGTTTGCTTGGTATGTTAACTGTGAAGTTGCAAGATGACAATTTTGTTAAGTGGAATTATCAGTTTCAGTCTGTTTTACGAGGGTATGATTTCTTTGAATTTTTTACTGGTGAGTCTCCTTGTCCACCAAAGTTTGTGATTAACACTGAGAGTGGAGTGACTACAGAAATCACAGCAGCTTATAAATCTTGGGTTCAGAAAGATATGGCACTATTGAGTCTGTTAATTGCTACTTTGTCAGATGATGCTATGGAATATGTCATAGGGTGTAAAACGTCTCATGAAGCTTGGGTAAACTTACAAGACCGATATGCGTCCGTGTCAAGGGCTAGGATTAATCAACTCAAAATTGAGTTTCATACAATTCAAAAAGGCAGTGATTCTATTGACAAGTATTTGCTTCGGTTGAAAGCCATTCGTGATCAGCTTGTGTCTGCAGGGGAGAGGATTACTGATAATGATGTTGTTATTACTGCTTTATCTGGATTACCATCGAAGTTTGATATTGTCAAGGCTGTAGTTTTAGCAAGGGAGACTTCTATTCCACTGAAAGATTTCAGGGCGCAGTTGATTGGTGTTGAATCTGCTATGGAAGCAAGAGTCACTACTCTGGCCAGTGGCATGGCTGCAATGTATGTTCAAGGAGATAGAGTTACAGGTGGTCATCAGAATTCCGGGTATTCACAAGGAGAGAGTTCAAATGCTGGTTCACAAACTGGTGATACTCAAGGCTATCAAGGGAACAACAGGTTTCAAAACAGAAATGGGTTTAATAATTCTCAGGGGTCTAATACTTCTCAGAACTATAACAGAAGTGGTTATGGGTCTTTCAATAATTCAAGGCCTTATTACAATGGGAATAGACAGAGATGGGGAAACAACTATAATAATTCTCCTACTGGGAATAGGTCTTATTGGAGTGGTAATACTACCTTCAAAATAGGTCCGATAGTTGAATGTCAGATTTGTTCTCGCAGAGGTCATACTGCTGCAACTTGTTCGAATAGGAGTGATGGTTATCAGGTTCTAATCTGCCAAATTTGTGGAAAGAAAGGTCATCATGCTCTGGATTGTAGACATAGGAATAACTATTCCTATCAGGGGCACCTCCACCTCCTTCTCTTACTGCATTTTCTGCTC